CTTCCCTCTGCCTTAAAAGTAGATGTAATCCCAAGTACAAACTTTTTAAAAAAATGACAGTGTATGGTCTAATTGGATAATGTGATCTGATGATTATCCCTGCATCCAATTAGAGAATGCCTTGTACTCATTTGATAACAATGCTAAGCATTTTCTAGATGTCCGTGTTGCCAATGGAGTGAGCCCACTATGTTTGCACAGTACCGAGTACGATTTTTAATATCCCAGCTGCCATCCTAATAGCTCCAGCTACTAAAGTGGTTTATAGGATCCCAGTGTCATTACAGTATCCATAGCAGACCACACAACTGCTATGCTGCCTGCCTTATAAGTGGCATCTCTAGCAGTCCATTGTGGGTGTTATGGGGACTGGGGTATATGTGTGCCCCATTAGGGCAGTTGTTGTCCAAAACTAAAGAGAGATTTTCTGAGTGTAAAGACAGACCTCAGGGCTTGTTCACAGCGACAGCGTGTGCGTTCCAGAGCAGTAGCTGCTGAAACGCACTGTGTTTGCACAATGGCATAGCATTGAATTTAATGACACAGTTTCCACACACCCCGCCCGCATTGCGATTGGACGTGTATCAAAACTTTGGCAGCGTTGCGTTCCATTGTAAACACCCCAAAAAAATTTTTTGCGTTTGCAGGTGAACGTAACAATCTCACTGCAGGGTGGGGCTGCGGCACGTGGAAGCAGTGCCATTAAATTCAATGCCATTCTCCTTGCTGACATTGAAACCTTGCTATGTACTGCAAAGGTAACCTAGGACAACATGTCTGAACATGCTTATTTCGTAGTCATCTTGCTTGTGCTCGACTATTTAATAGCCCATGCAGGTGAAGTAGAATGCACCATGTGCTCAACATTATCTCTACCCATGGACTCAAATGTGGTTCATGATCTGTATATCGCAGGGGTCAGCAACCTTTTACACGCCAAGTGCCATTTTTGAAACCATGGTACAACCGAGTGCCAGTGAACAATAGCACGCTTTAGTGTTACTTACAGGTACATTTTTTCACTCATGGCTGTACTGCTAATAGTAAGTTAAACTCACTAATTAATTTAATGTGTTTACCTCTCCAGTAGCTGCACAACTATAAGGGGAAAAAATTGAATAACTGGTGCACACACAAAACATGTTCATATTTTCATTTGCTGAAAAGTAAACTGGACTTTTTAGTGTGATCCCTGTGTCTTTATTTCATGGTTCAGTTGTGCAATCTCTGGCCTGTAGGATGTTATTGTCAGTGCTGCTGGCCTAAGGTCTGCAGGGCATTGGTGCTGCTGCTCTGAGGTCTGCAGGGCGGTCTGCAGGGCATTGGTGCTGCTGGCCTTAGGTCTGCAGGGCATTGGATGCTGCTGCTCTGAGGTCTGCAGGGCATTGGATGCTGCTGCTCTGAGGTCTGCAGGGCATTGGTGCTGCTGGCCTAAGGTCTCCAGGGCATTGATGCTGCTGGCCTAAGGTCTGCAGGGCATTGGTGTTGCTGGCCTAAGGTCTGCAGGGCATTGGTGTTGCTGGCCTGAGGTCTGCAGGATATTGGTGCTGCTGGCCTGAGGTCTGTAGACCTTGGGTCAGCACCAACGCACTGTAAATCATAGACCACCACCAACGCACTGTAAATCACAGACCAGCACCAACGCACATTAAATCACAGACCAGCACCAACGCACATTAAATCACAGACCAGCACCAACGCACTGTAAATCACATACCAGCACCAATGCACTGTAAATCACATACCAGCACCAACGCACTGTAAATCACAGACCACCACCAATTTACACATTTTAGCCTGCATATCAGCCACAAACACTGTATGATTTACAAGTTAGCAATTTTACCTGCTTGAAGAAATAAGTATTTTAGAAGCAGTCTTCCTTACCTACATGGACCAAGGCATATTAGGCACACACACAGACCTATACAAGTGCACGGCAGTATTGTCAGACACAAATAGCATTGATTTTATTCCTGTCCTACATGTTAGAGCAGAAATAAAATCATTACTGTTTGTGGATCAATATACTGCTGTGCATTTGTGAGGGACTGCATGTGTGCTGGTACAGGGGCTAAAATTAATGTAGTTGAGCAGTATACATGTGGTACATACAGTATATTCCAGGCGATCGGCTGGCTCCTTTAATTTTTCTGTGGTCTCTGGCAGGATGGTGTTGAAATCCTCCTGTCGGGCAGGGTGCGGTTATCATCCCGTCGGGTGAGCCGGCTCCTGTCTGCGCGGGCTGGTACATCAGGGATCCTCCAGGCAAGCGCTTGCGCAGACTAAGTTGAGGGCCTCCTCAGCGCGCCTCTGCCGCTCAGTCACGTGAGGGAGGTTGGCGGGCCAGGAATATAATTGACAGCCGGCTCGAGCTGTCAACTACAACACTACAACTACAAGAATGCCCTGCAGATAAAGAATAACGTCGCGTGCCAGCTGTCAAGGTCTCGCGTGCCAGGCTGGGCACGCGTGCCGGGGGTTGCTGACCCCTGGTATATCGTATAGCTGCACAACTGCATCTCCCTATTGCCATGGCAATCTTTGTACAATGACGTGTGTATTCTGCTCTTGGTGCTTTGTTATACAGATACTATTTTCCCTATGTGATAGAGACACAATATTAATTAAAAATGTTTTAATAATATAACATATCATGAAAAGCTTTCTTAATAAACATTTTATATTTTCTAAAAATAAAAAGAAATACAAACCCAAAGTAGTGATTGCACTTTGTTTTATCTGTTCTTGAGCGCACCAAAATCCATTCCGATGCACTGGAACGCACAAGAAATGCAAATGAAACGTAACACAGTCAAATACCTTGGAACTGTTAAACAATGCACATACAAGCATTTCCTGAAATCTATTCATAGTTGTAGAAAGTGTGTGCCAGACCTTTGAGGCCAAATACTCGAAGCAACAGGGCAACCCCACCCGATATGTGTATAGTATCCCACGCCACCCAAATCCAATGAAACAATGTGTGGAGTAAGTTGAAACATATCCATATCATCGGTACGGACCACATACCACTGTGATCAAAGTTTACTAGTTAACCTCCATTGCACCCACACTCCTAAAATATGATTGAGTAGAAAACCATAAATAAGTCCACACTTCAGCATCCAGTGAAAGCCCCTAGGTCAGTGGTGGTGAACCTTGGCACCCCAGCTGGTATTGTACTTCAAGTCCCATGAGGCATTGCAAGGCTGTGACAGCGACACACATAACTCCCAGAGGGAGATGCATGTTGGGATTTGTAGTTGTGGCACAGCTGAAGTGTCAAGGTTCGCCACCACTGCCCTAGATCTTATAGGGTTGCCACCTGTGCATGATTCACACGTCCAGTTTGGGTTTTTAATGCTGTGTCCGTGTTTCATGGCGCTATGGTGTTCGTGGTTTGCTGGAAGAAATGGTGGCACTGGCAACCGTAGGGTTGATGAAGGGGAGTAAGTGGACAACCCAAATTCAAAATAAAAATGGTATATTTGGCTAACACTATGAGGGTTATCCCTGCAGAAGCCTTCAAAGTAGTTCATAGAATTATAATAAAGAGATAGTCCAATTGTCTTTGTCATGAGGGCTCTTACCTGCATAGACTGTTAAAGTTCCCTTTGAGTAACACCATATCGTTGCTTGATATTCTCTAAAGATGTATGTAATGGCCATATCCTACTGTTTACGCTTATCTATCTTTTCTTTGCTGATTAAATTGCCCTCCGCATTTCTTGTACATATCGAAATTAACCACATATTTCCCCATATTTCCCATATGTGTAATGCAATCACAAGCCCCACAGTTTCACTTCTGTGAATACTTTGGAGAGTTGAGGTTTGTGATTGTGTCCAAAATGTAAAATTTTTTTTTTTTGTTGGTTGTTGAAGATTCAGTGTGCGCAGTAATTAAAAAAAGCATTCTTTCTGTGATGGTAATAAAATAAATCATTCTGTTTTTTATTCGTTCTACAATAAAGTTTAGGTACCCTTCACACGTTTAGTTACCCTTCACACCGTATCTATAGCAGAACACATACAAATTAATGTTTTTTAAAAAGTGACACTGTTCAGATTCAGAATGTTTTTAAAGTTTGGGCTGTGCTTTACAAGTTTGTGTTTGGGTTGCCATTACAATAGTGTTGTTCCAGGCAGAACTTTTCGGTTTACTAGGCTGTCTTATCCCGAATTCTCTGTTATATTTTCCTTTCAGAGTTACAGCAGTGGTTATGAACATGTGAGACCTCACTGCCCATTGTTTCCTTGTTTATGAAGTCGCCAACCCAGTCGTACTGAAACTCGAACGCATGATATTATTGTTCCAGAAAGTCCTGGAGCAAAAGGCAAAAGAATAGGCGAAAGGACGGCATGACAGGGTGGGCAGGCAGTCAGGTAGAGAAAGGGTTAAGTTAGCCTAAGGAAGGTGCTCGGGTGTCACTTACCGTGATTGGCTGGGTCAAGTGGTCCAGGAGGAGCATCCAGGGTGGTTAGAGCAGGAGGAGGGGTGATCCAGGCAGTTGGGAGTCAGCACAAGGTCAGTTCACTTCTGCAGCTTTCTTTATCCACAAAAATGATTTAGAAAATGTCAGATCTCTCTGGCCTATTTGCTCAATTACAAGCAGCTGCAGATGCTAATGGCTCTGCATGGCTGCAGACTTAAATTCAAAGCTTGCTGCAGCCTTCTCAACCACAGCAAGGACGTAGGGCACCACGCGCTAGGCGGTCCAGGCCTCCTGAGCGCTTTTCCCCTGCTCATTCACAAGTTTCTGGGGGCTCAGCGCCGCCTTAGGAGCCCCACTACTTAGTCTTGTGTTGTTTGAAGCTTAATACCTTCATTTATGCCGTCCATTTGCCGGGAGTGTCTAATTCCTTAGCCGACTCCTTATCTCGTTTTCAGTGGGACAGGTTCCGTGTGTTGGCGCCGGGAGCGGAGCAATGTGAGGTTCCCTGTCCCCGCCACCTGTGGCAGCTGCCTTTGGAATCATCTCGGTATTGCTTTGTAGGTCGTTAAGCTGCCGGACGTGGACGGCATATGCGAAGGTTGTAGGGCAGGAGTGGTTTGGGTTCTTGCAGATGGCTGGTCGGGTGTCCTTTGATGCGGTAGGCGCAGAAATGCTGCTGTACTTTCTCGGGCACAATATTTCTCAGGGTGCGTCGGTGTCTGGGATTGCCCGCAAAATGTCGGCTATGTCCTTCCTTTTTCAGCTAATGTGTTGTCGGGATGTCACGAAAGACTTCATAGTCCGTCAGGCAGTGAAGGGCCTGCACAGGGGACAGCGACGTCCGGATGCTCGGCGCCCGGTCACGTTTGCTATATTACATGCTGTGCTGGATCAGCTTCCTCATTGCTGTTCTTCCGATTTTGAGGTGTCTCTCTTCCGGGTGGCCTTCCTGTTGGCGTTTTTCGGTGTGTTTAGGATCGGGTAATTGGTGAGTCCGTCAAAGGCCGTCCACGGGGGGATTTTAAGTCAGGATGTATTGTTAGTTCCGGGGTCCGTTCGTATTCTACTGAGATGCTCTAAAACAGATCAATTTGGAAAAGGTAAGTGGGTGGTCCTCCATACTATTCCTAGTTCGGCTTCTTGACCTGTCTCGGCGGTCACTCATTTCCAAGTGGTCCGCCCGGCGCGGGCGGGATCTTTCTTGATTCATTCTGATGGTACTGCCCTTTCCCAATTTCAATTCAATTCCGTCTTCCGTACCTGTTTGAAGCGGACTGGATGGGAGCCTAGCCTTTTTTCTTCACATTCCTTCAGGATTGGAGCGGCTACTGAAGCTGCCCGTTCGGGCTTAGGCGGGGAAGCATTTAAACGTATTGGGAGATGGGAGTCCAACAGATATCGTCTATATGTTCGCCCACATTTAGTGTAATGATCGTTGTTTTTCCCTCTCCTGGTATCCAGTTAATGCAGTTTGTTTTGCAGGTTCGGTTGGTTTGCCGATCAATTTCCATTACTATCCGTCATTGTTTTGTTTGTTTTCAGGTGCTGGTCCTGCCCTAATCTGGATAATGGTGCACTCGTATGTGTACTGGGGGGCCCGCAGGGCAGACGTTCTCGGTGTCAGTAGGGACGAGGCCCAGGTTAGATGGATTGGGTTGCCTGGGATGTTATGGAGTCGGGTGGTCCCGGAGGTGCACCATGCAATGGCGACTGTCACTGTGGGTGTGAGGTTAGTTTTGGTGTACCATTTGAAATGACTGTAAATGTATTTCCTAAGAACTCCTCAGTTCTAACAATTTAAAGTAAACAATAAAACATGTCCAGACTCCTGAGGTCGACCATGGATTGACGTGGGCATACTATTGCTGGTCAAGTTTAGCAAAAAGATTGCCATGTAAGTGAACCTCGGTTCTCATCCTATTTTAAAATGAGTATACCTATGTTGTGAAATGTTATCTCTCTATTTTGTTTTTTTTTTCATTTATAAATTTATTCCTGGTTATGGATGCAAAATGTTTCGCCAGTCAGGTGAGTGAGTGAGGTGAGTGAGGTGAGTGAGGTGAGTGAGGTGAGTGAGGTGAGTGAGTGAGTGAGTGAGTTAGTGAGTGAGTGAGTGAGTGCGTGCGTGCGTGCGTGCGTGCGTGCGTGCGAAGGTCATATGATGTCACAATGTTCCAATGCGAATTCCGTTTTTGGAAGAGTCAGTAAATAGCATAATATGTCCTGGACGTAAAGATCTTTTTTTTTTTACTCAATTTTTTATAATTCAAACCTCTGCCTTCCAAAACACAGGTAAGGTATAACAAAATCATTGAGGTTTGATGGCTTAAATGTTGTGTTGTACATGTTTATTTCCGTAACCAAATATGTTGTGACATCAAACCAATATTAATGCAATCATTTGTATTAAATAAAGATATGAATGTTAATGTAACACACCTCTGACACCATGATGCACGTTCAGTCCGATTGTGTATTATATTGCGTGAATCAAATGGTAGTATGCGATTAATGCAGTGTATTAGATCACTGACTAAAAGCTTTGTCAAGATTACCTAAAGTAGTTTTTTGTTGTTGCAACATAATGTATATTTTAGTTTGTCTAATTTCACATTGACTTAATATAATTTCCAACTTGTCATTATAGCAAAGCATATTCAATATGTAGTAACGAGTTATTCTTTATGGTGATTAGAATAGAGAATGCAATACAGACACAGATGTAATATTAGTCATAAATGCAATGTATTTCTTCATTTTTCAATTGTAACTAAGCAAATGTTAAATAAACAACAATACTCTGATTTTATAAAAAGGATCAGTAATATTTGTTTTCTTGACTCATTATATAGATGATCCATTAAGGAAACCTGTTTTAAGGAGACAAAAAGTAGTAATTACATTATTGAACAATAAGTTAAGCGAACTACAAATTAACAGAAGACATATTTTGATTTTCTATTACACTGAATGAAAGAATACTATAATTCAATAGACAAATTAGAAATTGTATGTATCCAAAAACACTTCCTAACAAAAAGTAAAGGTCTATCCATCCATCCATCCATCCATCCATCCATCCATCCATCCATTCATTCATCCATGTGAGCTTATAGGTCATATGTGCAATGTCATATAGTTTTCTATGTTTTTGTAACACTGATAAACTTCATGTAGTAACGATAAAGACTGTCATATGAAGCTTTTTTTAATTTATGCTTATACAATTTCTGTATGGATCCACTTTTACAGGGCTTAACTGAGATATCGTTGACAGTATCACATTTACTATCCCCTTTCTTAGTGTACTTAAATTATTTATTTCCCTGTAAGGCTGTCCTCAATCATCACTATTCTGAAACTAGTGTAAAGTCGTTTTGAAAGTTTTTATCCATATTCATATTAGTTGTTCATGAGATCTGCAATTGGTTTTGCTTAATGTCTGCATTAAGATGATTTATATTTATCTATGCTGTTATTCACCTTTGCTTGAATGTGTTATTGAGGCCTGTTATAACAAAGGCTAAAAATAGAATGTAGGAGTGTGTGCTTTACATGAAAGCCATCCAATTTAATGAGCTATGTTTATTGTTATTACAAAATGTATCATTTATTGTGATGTAATTTCAGTTTAGTAGTATGTATAGTTTGTAAAGATAATGTATCCGTCAGAATTTCCAATTTCAAATAGTGTAAAATTAAATGTTTAAAAAGAAAGTATTGAAATAATCTGAATATAAAGAATGTCATTTTTGGCTAATCCGCTTACAAAAACACATTATGTAATAAAGGCACAAGTGTCAGGTAATGCAGAAAAAGTCTTGATGTGCTTCTTTTGTGGAATTGTGATAGTTCCAAAAAAATAATCCCTTGATGCATGATAAGATGTAGACATATGTATTTATAAAGGTAGTATTGTACGAATGTTTTCAGTAGTTAATGTATAACCTTAAATTATGTATAGCACTATGAGTAAAGTTAATATTCTTTATTTTTTTCACTGAAAAAGCAAATCATGTTTCTTATGCCATCAATAATCCCCCAGGTGAAGATACCTCATGAATCTTTATTATTGCTTTCAAGAAGAGTTATGTGAACGTGCCCCAAATAATGGAGTTTTCAAATAAAATGTCATGTTCCATGTTATTTTAAATGTGCATATAGTCTAAAATAAGTGGATGTTGTCAATGTTTACACCAAATCTGTAATGTAATCCAAAACTAAATAAAGCTATGCTTTTTATTCACGACAGAATAGTTGATTCCATTTGCAGAATAATGAAACCAAAAATGTATAGAACTTGGCGTGAGAAATCCTGTCTATGATTTTAATATTTTTGGATGATCAATTTTGTGACATTTATGCCGAAATGTTCTATGTAATCACCAGTGTATGCGCTGTCTGTGAAGACCATGTAATAGTGATGATTGTCATGTCAATTTAAAATCTAGAAGTATTTTAAAGTATGTGAATGTCTAGCCGGAAATCGTTAATTGTTTTCAATTAAAGTTAAGAACCAATAATATTAGTGTCTGATGTTCGTAGTTTTAATGTTATTAAATTACTGCAAATGTTGAGCAATATACCTGTGATAATGTTTTCTTATTGAAAATAATAAATGTTTATTTAATATTGTAATCCTAATGTTAAACAATTAAACTATCCCTAATAATAGTTGTAAATCAGATGACAGTCAATAGTTTATGTTCCTAGCAATGCATCGATGTGTAAGTTGTCTTTACATGAAATGTTATAACATAACAGTATCATTGATGAAATAATATTTGTCAAGGTGCATAGAAGCAAGAATGGTTAATCCAATAAAAATGTTGTAAGTATGTCAATTCAAAAAGTAACATAACTGAGAATGAAGTTAACTAGAACAAATCTAAATTTTTATCAAGTATTCAAATTAAGAACAATGTGACTCTAAATATGTCCAATAACCAAATGTCTTCAATGTGAATGTATGTGATAGGAATAATAAATCTACAATAATCACATGTCATAGCGAACATGATATTTATTTGTTTACCTACATACTGAATTACTTATGCTAACGATATGCTTATAAATATTAAATAATAATTATCACAATTATGTAGTTTAATGTAGTTGTGTAATGTTGTTATCTGCTCTCCATTAGTTAAAGGTGACCATAATAAAAACCACTCAGCAATATTTTAATATTTTTTCACAACATATGATTGTGTTATAGACTATGTTGAAGTATTGTCTCAATAATTATATTATTGACAATAGTCTTTAACTTTTGCAATCGTCGTCGTCCGCCGCCGCTCTTGAAAACAGGGTGGCGAGGGCGTGGCC